GGGGGGGGGGGGGGGGGGGGGGGGTCTGAAAATCAGTGAACAGTAAAAATTTTGGTATTTTAATGGTAAATTAAAGTGTTCTGAAACAATAAACAGTATTTTTTCCTCACACTTCACAGTAAAATTTTTAGCGTTTTCACAACTGACTGTAACCGAAACTGAGCAATCACAACTCACAGTATACCCCATTATTTTGCCCATCAAGGGATGTGTTGTGACTATCAACTGAACAAATGCTTACCACCATTTTTCTCTGTAACCAAACTAAATGGTTTCTCGCTTGCAACCAAGATTGCCTGATTGTTTGACTCGAGCGCTCCATACAGTGGAACCGAATGACCCTGAAACTCTTTTTGCACTTCAAAACCAAATTTCATTTCACCATTCTCTCCAGCCTCGCCAGAAAATATGACAGCAGTCAAAAGGACCGTATGTTTAACATGAAGGGATCCGCTGTCTTCATCAGGAGTGACGCTCAGTAATAACGTGCCCAACGACTTGGAAGTCGGTTCGTAATTGCTATGTAAAATGGAAAATGGTTTGTCAACGTTATGAAGTTGAGCGACTTTCCAGTCGTGTTTCTCCAGACGATTGCCAGTGTGGATTACATAGAGTTGACCGGCACCGTCGGAAACAACAACGTGAGTGCTGCTCGGAAATGATACAAAAGCATTCAGGCGATGTTGTATTTCTTCCTCAACTACAGGAATCTCAAAAACTTTGCAAAATTCCTGAACTTTCCCATCCTGAAAGATTTATAAAATAATAATGAATTATTATTTAGTTACTGGCATTTGCCCATACAAGCAAAAATTTGGGTGATGCAAAGGGTGGGGTCCAGTGTTGATAGCATTCTCCAGTGAGCTGAGCTGCGGTTTGTGTCTGAGCTTCCTGAAAATATCTAACACATCATGGCTGGGTCTGGAACTATCTTGAAACCAGACTGAAAAGAGTTAAGAGGTCATCAACCTGCTGGAATTTAGACACAGACCACAGGCAGCAGCTTATATTAAGATTAAAGGATTAGGGTGGACAGGATTAAATATTGAACAGTCTGACAAGATTTGGAGTTATGATACTGGCCATATGCAGATTGATAGAAACAAAACTACCCAAAAAATACAAGGCTTAGCATAACTTCATTGGTAAATTAGGGCTACTAACGTCCCAAACAAGGTGCCTGCTCAACGTTTGTCGTTGAAGTTCTCCTTGCATTTCGCTGGTTAGTTGTATCGTATCTGTCTCAATCTGCAGCTGTTTGGATAGGGTCAAACAGATACGGTAAGGGTAAAATGCAATTGTTATTCGTACAACACCGGATCCCAATACTTAGTATAATTCAAAAGTATTTTCCAGTGGCAAAGACAGCCCGAAATTCTAGTCATGCTATGCTAATTTTAAATCATTATTCATTTCTTCTGAAATTGATTGTTTTCATGGTCTATGAACACGGAAATATTTGCATCGCATGACCAAATTGTTGGTCTGGCTTCGCCACTGATATTTTCCTCGTTCCCACTAAGTTGTATTGATCCCCAATGTGCCCTACTTTATTATTTTACCCTGTCTAACACCAGATAATTTTACTCGTCATGGGAGAATGATATGCCACTCAATAGGTTAACACATGATAAATGATGGCAAATAAATTTCAGGTGATTTCAAGCAATTCCTTGGTGGTCGAGTGGTCAAGGCACAGCAAGTGCATAGTGCATGCAAGGCAAGTACATGCACTATGGCCCGGTTCAAATCCCGGAGTGGAATTTCAAGTGTATATGTGTGAGAGTTTTTTTTCATGCAAACAAGTGGCCAGAACGGTTAGGATGAGGACAGGTCTGGGTTACGGCAGGGGAAATGCAGGAAAAATTTATGGTCTGAAAAAACATGAATGTTGTATGTAGTACCAATATGCATGTATGCGTAACACATGTTGGATTAATAGCCGTAGCATGTTGGGATTTGATGTCGGATAAATATCTAAAGCCCGCCGCACACCAGAGCAACTTGCTGAGCTAACCGCCTCGCGACTTGCTCTCGTGTGCGGCTAGTTTTCGTGAGGATTTGACCTCTCGAGGCCTTGAGGAAAATATCTATTGTGTTTGATATTTTTCGCCTCGCGAGGAAAAAATCTCAGCATCTGCGGATATTGTGAGCTAAGTGTTGAGCTGTTTGACCTTGCTCTCGTGTGCGGATAGTTTTCGTGAGGATTTGACCTCTCGAGGCCTTGAGGAAAATATCTATCGTGTTTGATATTTTTCGCCTCGCGAGGAAAAAATCTCAGCATCTGCGGATATTGTGAGCTAAGTGCTGAGCTGTTTGAATCAATTAGCCAATGACAAACCATGCATGGTTTCTTCATGTGACTAAGTGGAACAAAATGGAGGAAAATGCAAATGATTTTGTCAATTATGTTGTTGTTGAGTAGTTTTCCCAACGTGTGCGGTGAAAATACATAGCTGAGCTAGCTGCCTCGCAAGGCGGTTAGCTCAGCAAGTTGCTCTCGTGTGCGGTGGGCTTAAGGCTGGATTAGTTGGTCACACTGTCTCCAACAACTTGTGAATAGTGTTTTCATTTGTTATTAAGTCGTTAACTACCACCGATGGTCACCACAAAACAATTTTATATTTATTGCGACAATCGCCGATGAATTAGGGGATCAAACAAATTCGACATAAGCGAGTTTTTGTCAACTAATGAAAACCAGCATATTTATTGAGGATTTAGGATTATGGTGAACTTATACACATGTAAAAATCTCACAACTTGTCAACAAGATGTGTTCACAACAGGCTTGCAGCAAGCTTGTCAACAAATTGCAACAATGCTGTTATTTTATCAAGTTGCTACAAGGGACACAAGGTTGTCACTCACAACTTGTTGACAAATTGTTGAATTGCAGGACGATAACAAGTTGTTGGACTGTTGAACTCAACAACCTTGTAGCAAGCTGTCAACAAGCCGTTGGCAACTTGTCAACAAGCTGGGAACAAGCAGTGCGAACACATCCTGTTGACAAGTTGTTGGAACAACATTGCTACAAGTCTGCTGCAGGTTTGTTACAACTTGTGCGTTTTTACGTGTGTATTTTAAAATCGTGCGTCACAGCACGTGCGCGTCCTCCATATAGCACGTGGAGGAGGGCAATAAGAATAACAGGCAAATATCTATACAGCCAACTTATTCTTCTCCAAACTTCAGTCCATTATATACCTGGACAATAATTTGATGCACGGCGTAGTTTTCGTCGACAAAATACAGCAATATTTTCCCACCATCTTGGCTCCAACTGTCCAGTACAAGATGGTTCGTCCATCCGAACGCCTTCACATGCAAAAACGAAAAAACATCGTCTTGCAGACGGACAATATTTACTGCGTGTGGCAACGAAGCGCTCTGCACAGCCAGTTGATCTGAGGATAGTTTATATCCGTCAAATTTCGGGTTTAAAAGTTCACGATTCGGCCGCAAACTCTCGAAATTGCCCGCCATCTTTGTTTCTTTATAGATCAGAGGCTCAGCTGACCTCAAAGCGTAATATGGATAGCGCTCTATGGAATTTCGTGATTTTTGTCCGAAGCCTTTCCGATTGGTTGAAACTGCTCCCCGGTCCCGAGGGAACAGTTTCGACCAATCAAAAGCTTCCAAAGTAAACAAAGCATTCGCTACAGCCAATAGAAATCGAGACATGTTTACACGTTTTGAACATTTTGGACAGCGCATTTGCATTTTGCCAATTTGGACAAGAAAGTCAAAGACAAAACAACGTTTATATGAAGCTAAAATCTTGGTTTAAAAGCTCTCAAGATATTAGTTTGTTGGCTTTTGAATACGTGGTAAGTAAAATGAATTTCTATATATTTTTAACCACGTTTATCGGCATTATTGTGAGTTTGAAAGCAAAATAATTCTCGAATGCGAATTTCAATGGGCGGACCCACCCAACTTTCTGCTTCAGCCGTCTTCGACGTTTTGCGCCTTGCAGCCCTTGCTTATCACTAAAACTCGTGTTTGAACAGATATTTCGTTGCCGTTTAGACTTCAAGTATGTCTGAGTATATTTTTAAACAACTATGGTTCAAATTCGCTGGCTTTTTATTGAAAATTTTCGCCTAAAGTGACCTCGTGCTTTGCGAGCGCCATTTTGAGCAATACATGTCACAATTTGTTTAAACTACAAGGGTCTTTAAAAGAGTATTCTAGCTTTAAATACAACTATTTTATCTTATATTGGACATTTTACACAGATAGTTTCAAGTTTATTCATAGTATTATATAATAAATTCCTCGGTTTGTGTCGGAATTAAACCTTGGTCCGACGACAGTACGCTTTATAATTTTTTATGAAAATCAAAACCCAGCTACATATTAACATGCAGTTTTCACACAAAAATCCTTTCATCCAATTAGTTAATACGGTAGCTGACTACTCCGTGAGCATTTCAAGTGTTTTAAGAGGCAAAATAACACAAAATAACACTAGTTAAATATTGTCAATTTAAATACAATCATCATTGATGCTGTAAAATCGACGCCATTTTTATACAGCAATATATTAAGAAAAACTTCCTGAAGTTCAGACATCGTTTTCTCTTTGCGTACCATCTAGAATCTCTACATTTTAGCATAATTTTACAAATAAAGCATGTACTAAACATAATTTTAAATTTGTGAAACGTATCAAAAATTTAAAATATTGAATATAGTCTTATAACCAAGTGCAAAAGTATATTTATTTTTGAGCGCGTGTTACGTAACATACAAAAGATTCAATTCTTAATATTCTTCATTCATATTATTCCAGCAGAATCCTTCTCGACCTTGACGATGCAGAAACGTAGAAATCCTCGAGGACTCGGTCAACACATGCCATCTTCTCATGCGAGTCGAGAAACATCCGTCAATGGGTGCGGTTCACCAAATACAAAAGTGGGTGTTGTCCACTTTTTCATAAAATAATTGCTACTGAACGAAGATGATTGTTACAATTGAGGACTTGAATCACCTTGTTAATGCATGCGCTACCGCCATGAAGTAGTGCAGGGCTGGAATGCAAAAACGGTTTGGAAAGTACCGTTGAAGAAAAGAAGACAAAGATCAAAGTAAGTATGTAGGACCGTAGGGGGTTCGGTGGCCAAGTGGTTAGCGCACTTGCCTTTCACCTCTAAGGTCGCAGGTTCGAATCTCAGTGAGAACTTCTCAATGTGACTCGAACCCAGTCCTCATGTGAAAAGAGTAAAAGTCAACGCTCTACCGAAAGTCGTGGGTTTTCTCCGGG